ACCGCTCTCAGGTTTTACACTACCGGAGTCGAGCCTGACGCATCCCGAAGCTGCTTCGGTTTTCTTACTTCCTTACCTGCAACGACTCTTCCTCCTTTACAAGCTCTTTCGGGGGGAACAAGTCCTTGGCCTGGATATACTCCAAACTGGGAGGGCCTTCCTCACCCTGCATTGCAAACAAAACACACATTGAGACAGGGCCCAGCCAACACGTGTTACAAAAAGCTGAAAATAGAAGCTGCTGGATACTCTTGGCACCCCAATACCTTGGGGATGCCCTGGACCTGTACATAGAAATGTCTGTTCTCCTCCAGACCATGCTCTCTGCACTGCAGGACCCCAGCAGTTCCTCTGGCTGTTGCAGAAGACCAACAGCACACTGAAAGACTGAAGCAGGTCTCCAAGTCCCCTCTTCTTCCAACCACGTGGCATTTGGAAAGCCAAGCAGATACACCTGGACCACACACAGGATCTCGGACTGATATGATAATAATTTGCCACATCAAATATTACCCCATTATCTTCACTACAGCACCACAGCAGAAACACCGTGACAGTTTCCATCTACAGTCCAGCTTTGACCTCCTCTTCCTCCTCTTCGGGCTGTAAGGACTGCTTTCTTTTGGGAGTTTTCATTTTCACTCTCAGCCCAAAGAAAGCTGGGAAGAGCTCAAAGCTTTTCGAGGAGAATATGCAAGTGTGAAACGTAACCCTGTAACAACTGTCTCCAAGTGCACCCCATTCACAACGTGCGTTACTGACGGGTGACAGCACCCAAGCAAGGCATTCATCCTCAGGGCAGCAGAATGTGTCCACCCTGCTCAGACAGACACCCTGGAAAGCCCACGGAGGCCTCAGAGGAGCGGCTTGAGAGAACACAGAGCCTGCACGCACAGTCCTTGGAAAAGTGGAAAGTATCTCAGCTGGGGACCTGTGAATCTCCAGTCACTCATGAAATCTCAATCCCAGTTTTCACCAGCCCTCACCCCACACTCTCATACCACCGCCTGCTGTACAAACAAGCACCACCCAGACGCTCAGCTGAAGATGCTCACTGCTGGGAGCCCAGGATGGTGGTAATTCCACATGTACTTGGTGTGGGAATGTTTTCTTCAGAATGCCTCTTGCTCTCTAACTACAGCTCCTCTAGGCTCCAGCATTTACTAGGAAATACTCTATTCTGCAAGCACTAAATAATATTTTAAAATTAAATATCTTTCTGGGTAAGTCATCTAAGCCAGAACCCCGAATTTCAATCTGAAGAAACAAGAACCCAACCCTTTTGGCTTGGTTATGTTCAAAATGATGCTGAATCCCCCCTTATGTTGCTGACAGCTGCTCAAGCCCACAGGTATGACCTGGCCTGAAGCGCTCCCTGGACCTCAGAATGGGGCAGCCACACAGCCCACCTCCTCCCTGGGTCCAGAGGTACCTATGCACACGCTGGCATAAAACTCAGCACCAACCCCAGCTGGAGGCAAAGGCACTGCCCCTCCTCACCCACTCGCCAGGTCCCTGCGTGAGGCTGCGAGGGACACAGGGCACAGCACCTGCT